GGCGTGTGCACTGATTTGCATGCCTCTTTAGGAACTCTGGGATATTGAGGGAAGCCATCAAGAACTGGATTAGCAGGAAGGCCTGTAAGCCTTCTGGGAGAAGAGATGAGGGGATTTGGAAGCTGGGATTGGAGTCCAGACACAGTGGGGTGATTCTGAGAGCCCTTGTGGCAGTAGAACCAGTGAGACCAAAACTAGCAACTGCCTAAAAACGTGGGATTCCCCCAAGTCCTTGTCAGGACAGGAGCTTGGAGTCAAAGGCCATTATGGTAGCCCCCACCCCTGCCCCCTCCACACACCACCTGCCAGAGAAAACAAAAATTACTGGTTCATCCTTTATAATGGGGCTGTTCAGTAGAATTTGCCATGATGGCGGAAATAGTCTATGTCTGTGTTGTCCAGTATGTAACCACTAGCCACATGAAATGTAGCTGGCGAGACTGAGAAACTGACTTTTTAAACTTTATTTCATTCGCGTTCATTTCTATGAATTCAATACCAACTGTATCGGAGAGTGCAGCTTTATAACCTTTCCGCGAAGCCTTGGTACTCCTGAAGGTCAGGGACCCGGCAGAAGTGGGTTACAGATGGCCAGGAGGTGGCCTGCCATTTGAGGTCCTTGGTCTTTAACTGCCGTGGTTAAAATATGTATGTCGCCCTGGAAAGAATACAGACACTAAAGTCAGACAGACCTGGGTTTGTATTTATTATGGCCATGACCTTGGGCAAGTTTCCTTTAAACATTTGGAGTCTAAGATTCAGCATCTGTAAAACAGGGACAATAATACCTATGAGGAGTCTCTTCCTCCATAAGGTCTATAGAGCTTGCTTCATTCATTCATTCCACAAATATTTATGCGACACCCTGTGTGGTCAGGCCTGGTGCCGGGTGTATGTATTGGCGCTGCCCTCCTGAACTGTAGCCCAGGGTAGGCTATGTCGTCGGGTGAAAGAGATCAGCTTGAAGAGGTTGTGAGATTAAATTGGATAATATGTAACATCCGATTCAGAGCTGTTAGCACTCCAGTGTCCACGCCCTCTCTTCTTCTTCTTGTTGTTTTATCCTCACCCGAGGACATTTTTCCATTTTTTATTCAGATAGAGTGGGGGGGGGGCGGGGGGAGGAAGTGAGAGAAGGAGAAACATCGATGTGAAAGGGACACATCGAGTGGCTGCCACCCGCACAGCCCAACCAGGGCCGGGGACAAACTGCAACCACAGTACGTGCCCTTAGCGGGAACCGAACCCGGGTCTCTCTGGACCACAGGCCCACGCTCTAACCGCTGAGCCAGACTGGCCAGGGACACTCCCTCTCTTCTGATCCTGTGTTCGCTCCTGCTGAGGGTCCTTGCCAGGCACCCTCTCTGCTTCCTGGCTCCCCCCTTGGAGAGAAGACAAAACCCTGACCACCCCCTGACAGAATAGAACGTGTTCCTCGCACCAAGACAGAAAACATGTGATCAGGGTGGGTACATCGTCACCCTGTCAGGTCTCTGGCAGTATCCTCAACACTTGAAAAGGGCAAAAAACACCCAAGCACCCCACCTCGCCCCGACAGACATGCTCTGGGAGGGGCCGGCCGGGGAGTGTTGGAGCTGAGTGCTGTTTTCTCCTCGTCCGAGTGGGGCTGAGGGCGGCAGGGTGTTGCGGGAGGCCTGGGTGCCAGGGTTCCGTGTCCTGGGGTGATCTGGGCTGTGGACACAGCGGCTCCAACCCTACCCCGAAATAGAAGTGCTGAGGGGCTCAGGGGCCAAAGGAACGGGAAGGAGAGGGCTGGTGGGCTTGCCTCCTGCCTGCCAGCCCCTGGGCCTCAGGAGGTGGCCAGGAGTTATTCTTCCTTCCTCCTGACACAGTCGGAGACAGGAGTGTCACTTGACCTCAGGGCACATTCCAGAATGAGGCCACAGCCAAAAATAGGACCCAGGAGCCCTGCCACCTATCCTGCCTATATTAATCACATATTCCCAGAGCAGGAGGAAGACGGCAGGCTCCTCGGGGAGGTGGGAGGAGGAGACAGACCAGGAAGTGGAGCTGGGGAGGAGGGAAGACCCCGGGGAAGCCACTTCACAGCCTTGAGGTGGAGCAGCACACCGCAGGCCCTGGGTCCCAGGACACACGGACCTCTAAGCAATGATCCTGGCGTGGGGTCAGTGCAAGCACGGGGGAGACCGAGACTGTAGGAGTGTTTACATTGCCTGGGGAACGGCGGAGGCTTCCCCAAGGAGCTGAGTCTTGAAGGATGAGTAGGCATAAGGCTGATGTCTCGCTCAGGAATCTAGGCCATGACTGCTTCTGTGTGCGATAGAAATACCATGTCACATGGCAAGGTGGTAAGACAGCCCCGGGTGTTGTGTGCGGCTGACAGGAGGCAGGCTCTCTGGAGATCTCTGGGGTCCTGATGGGATTCCACACTGCCCAGCCGTGTGTGTGTGTGTGTGTGTGTGTGTGTGTGTGTGTGTGTGACATGCTGGGAGAAATAGCATAACATGAGCATTAAAGAACTCTGACAAATCCCCAGTGGGGACGTGTAGGAGGCAGCCAATCAATGTTCTCTCTCATCGATGTTTCCATTTCTCCCTACTTCCTCCGTCCTCTCTCTCTAAAAATCAATAAAGAAAAAAACATTCATTAAAAAAAGGACTCTGAAGTCTGACAGCCTAGGTTCAGATCTTGGTTCTGCCACTTAGCAGCTGGGTGATCTTGGGCAAGTGCTTATCCCCCTGGCCTCAGTTTCCCCACCTACAAAACAGCCCCCTGTCTCAGACAGCTGTGATGGAGATGACAAGACAGGATGTCCAGAGCCTGTCGCATAGTAAGTGCCCACTCAGTGTTGATGTTATAACAGGACAGCTGGACACAGGGCGTTCTCCCAGCCTAAGGAAGTCGTCACGTGGCTGTATATTTATTCTGTCCCTTCCCTCATCAGGTTCCACCCCTGGTCCCTGCTCTCTGGCCCCACTGTCCAGGGGGTGACATCAGAATATGGAGCAGCTGGCCTGACAATGGAGCAAAGTGTCCCAGGAGGCTGGGACAGAAAGGATGGAAAAAGCCAAGCTGTCCTGCCCCAGAGGCGTTGGGGTTGTTCCGGGGACAGCAGCGCCAGACCAGACCTCTGAAGAGGCAAACAGAGATGGATGGGAACGGACAGGGTGGGGGTGGGGAACAACAGATGCAAGGGGCGGGAGGAGTGAGTGCCCCGTGTAGACAGGAAAGCAGGTGAGTCTGGCCTTGGACCTGAAGCAGGGCTCAATCCCCACATAACCTGGGGCTCAGGCCTGGGCACATCTCCCAGACTGGGTGGGGTGGCCTCCCCAGGTTACCTGGCAGCCAGGCCCTGGGAATCCAGTTTAGCGTTTACTGAACACCTACTACATGCCAGTTCCTGCGTAAGGCCTCACCGAGAGGACAGAGACTCAGGCTTGGTTTCAGGAACAGAAAAATAAGTGCCATGTAGTGGGTCCAAAGTTATAATAGATTCTAACTCACCCATTCCCAAGTGCCCATGTCTTCTGGATCCCAAATCAGCCTGTGCGGGGTGATCAGCTTGGATGCACCCTGTGAGCGACAGAGCAAGGTGTTTGAAGCACCTCACACCTCTACCAGGTAGCCACAGGTTCAGGCTTCGTAGCTGTGCAAGTGTGGGGGGAAAGGGCGGTGACAAGTGCTGACCTTACCCCCTCAGGCTCTAAGGTGATGTGCTGTTTACTGGGGCAGCTTGGCCCAGAATTACGTGCAACAGGTCTCCAAGCCTCTGAGGTGAGGGAGGAGTGAGTCCTCATCTCCCTGGTTTCCCACCCTGAGCAGAGAGGGGCCTGTGGCTGGCGCTCGCACCTCCTTGGCAGCTGTTTTATGCTCAGGATTTTCACAATGGAAACTTCCATTCCTCTGCCCTCTCTCCTCTCTCAGGGAGCAGCTTATCTTCTCTGCCCTGGCCCCTCTTTATTGCAGGGAATTATCTCTAAGGAGGGCTGGGCTGAGCTGGGCTGGACCGAGCCTGGATTCCTCCTTGGGGCTGTGGTCCAGGGAGACCCAGGGACAGGACAGGGGACAGGTGTCTCTTGTGCCTAGCTGGCTCCCAGCCGAGGGGTCAGACAAGCTGTGGGGTGTGCCATGGCTGCAGGCTCCCGAACACACCTTCAGGGCAAGGGAGTAGCCATGAGCAGCTGAGCCCAAAGGTGCTATTGTCCCCACCCTAGGAGCTGAGCCACATGCTCTGAGCACACTAGGGCCTCACCCAGAGGTCTAGAGAGTCACAGCTGGGCAACCTGCTCCTCCCCACCCCATTTGTGTTTCCTCCACCTGCCGTTGGTCCACCATGATGTCATGACGGGGCGAGGGACAGATACAAGTCAGCACACTTGGGCCTAAGCCCCACATCATCCTGTCTCTGTGTTCTTTGGAAAGTCACCTGGCCCCAGTGTCTGATTCACAAAGCTACAGTGAGCACCACAGTTAAGGAGCCTTGGAGCTACAAAGTGGGCCAAATATTAGCACTGTCTCTCCATCACTCAAATATGGTCCCATGGGCCAGACTTCCCTCCTGCACAGTCTCCAAAGCAAAGGACACTCCCCCACCCCCACGCATACATCAACTCAAATGACTCACATAAGAAGGCCTGTTGATACTATGAGCTTTTAATTGGTATCTTCCTCCCTACGTCTGAGGAAGAAACAAGGATGCCCCACAATGGCCTTCTTTAGTTTTGGAGGGGCACGGGCAGAATGAAGGGCTGAGGAGGGACTGGGGGCAGCGGTAGAGCTGACAGTGGGTTTCCTGAATCCTTTATCTAGTGGTGGGGGGGTGGACCTGCACAGGAGGTGGAAAAACAAAAATCACGGACAAGCTGCCCTCCCCAAACCTGCCATCCCACATAGAGCCTCCCGCTAGGTCCCTGCGGTTCCCGAGGCCACCACCAGATGGGAGCATTGAGCAGCATTCCTTTCCTTGCCTGGCCTGCCTCCCCTCCTCCCTCCCTCCTGGTTCCTCACCAGCCCCCTTCCCTGCCTGTTTTTCCTCTTCCTTTATTTCTCCTCCTACCAAAACATATCCTGGGGCTTCTATCTGCTTTATGTCCAAGGAAGCCAGTGACAGATAAAAGCATCCTGACTGCCAAATGGAACCATTTGACATCTGGGAGGGCCAGCCAAGGGTCTGCTGCTGAGGGAACTCCTTGGATCTGGACATCGTGTTCAGTCACTGTGAGCTGGAAAGTGACTAACAGCTCTCTGAGATCCTAGCACCTGGCCCCTAATGTTCAGAAAATGTCTGTTGAGTTGGACTGAACAGAATTGAATTAATAAATCAACCATCAATAGACCAATCAATAAAGCCAAGGAGATGAAGCATGAGCAATGTGTTCTGCTGGTAGCCCCAGCGAGGGCAGGGCCAACTTGACCGGAGCGCAGGCTGACCCCTGCTGAGCAGCCTCCACTGGGCAAGTCATGTGCTGGGCTGGGCCATGCCCCTGCTTCCCACTTCTTGTGATGTGACCCCAAACATGAAGTGGTCTCTGCTCACAGTGGTCTAGGGGCTGTGGGGAATGTGTCCCGTGAGTCCCTGGACCCTCCTTTCTCTCCTCACCCGCCCCTTTCGCAAAACCAACTCATTCCATGATTCCTGTGACCACTGCCGGCTGCTAGCCTGGAACCCTGGTGGGAGGCTGGCTGGGTGGGCGGCTGGAGAGCCAGGGAGGGGGCGGCCAGCAAAGGGAAGAGAATAATGCCCAAGGCGACTGGTCATCGGGAAAAATTTGCCAGTGTCTATCGACTTCTCCTTTTGTCCCCCTCAGCTACGCAAGATGAACCCCCTGATTGAACCCAAAGAGCAGAAGTTGATCTAAGCCTTCTGGTGGCTTTTTTTCTGACTGATATTCCTTTGCTGGCCTAAGACTGTCGAATCTGACCTTGCCCCGTGTGCTAACTGAGGGGCGTCCGGGGGGTGGGTGGAGAGGGCTGGGAGGGGGGGCTTCAGGGTGAGCCCAGGAACTCCTTGAGGACGTCGCAGGTCTTCTTGTGCAGGACCTCGCGCAGCTTCCTCACCCGCCGGGTGCTGGACGCTCCCACGAAGCTGTCGGGCCTCAGCATGGCCATGCCGCCGTCCACCTCCCCCATGATGATGAGCGGTGTCTCGCCCACGGTCACGTTGGGGCAGGGGCAGGTCCAGTCCACGTGGAGCAGAGTGACCTCCAGCGGCTCCTGGCCCAGGAACTTGAGGCCCATCTTCTCATCCTTCAGGACTTCGTCCACTGTCACCAGGGCGCGACCCGCGTCGGGCTCCTCGGTCAGCTCGGAGACTCGGCCCAAGATGACAAAGTCGCTCCGACAGAAGCTGGTCACGAGCTTCTGCCTCGGCTTGCAGGCCTGGCAGCGCTGGTTCCCCCAAGGGAAGGGGCAGGACTCCTCGCAGGCCTCTCGGCTCTCAAAGTTGTTCCCGTTGCCCTCACAGCCACCGTAGACGAAGGACTGGCACTGGCCCGTCTGGCTGTTGTAGGCCCAGCGCGGGGCGTAGGCCTTGCAGGGCCCCTGCAGCGCCGGCAGGCTGCACACGGCCAGCGGCCCGCTCAGGCAGGCCAGCATGCAGGCCTCGTAGGTCTCGAAGTGGTTGCGGTTGCGGTGGCAGTGGCCAAAGGTGAAGGTGAGGCAGTTGTTGGCCTGGGCGTCAAAGTGCCAGCGGGTCTGCTCCTCGCCGCAGTCCTCGCTGTCGGGGGGCTTCAGGCACTCGGCTGCAGGGAAAGCCGTGCCGTTGGGGCTGCTCTCCACGGTGGCTGCAGCCGGGCCCCCCCGGACGACCGACAGCGGGAAGTCGGCGCGGAGGATGCCGGCGGCATTCCGGGCCGTGCAGGTGTAGATGCCAGCGTCCTGGAGCTGGGCGTTATAGATGACCAGCTGGGCAATGTTGGTGACCACCACGTTGCCACGCACGTGGTTGGGCCGCATGACCACGTTCTCCCGATCCTCCAGCTGCTTCTCCCAGGTGATGTCCGGCCGGGGCCGGCCCACCACGTCACAGAGGAAGCTCACTGTCTCGCCCACGGTGACCGACTGGTGCACGGGGTGGTTGAGCAGAGCCGGGGCAGCCGTGTCCAGCCCAGGGGTCTCCGGGGAAGCTGTGGTCGGATGCATGGTGGTCTCAGGTGGCGGGGGGCTGGTGTTAGGCCAGGTAAAGTGATAGCGGCAGGTGACAACAACCAGCGTGATGCCCTTGGAGCAGGCCTCGGCGTCCATGTAGCAGCGGTTATAGTAGGTGAGGCCGTCCGAGGCGCAGGTAAAACTGGGCTCCTTCTCACAGCGATCTTTGCACTTACACACGGGCTGGCCGTCCCAGATGTCACACTCAGAGCCCTGCTGCAGACACATGAAGTGGTCGCACGTGGCCTCCTTGGGCATGCCCACCGGGCCCTTCTTCCCCTTCACGTCCATGTAGCGGGCTGCTACACAGCTCTTGGTCCCACACACGTTGGGGCAGCACTTCTCGTAGGTCTCACACTCCTGCAGAGAGCCACATCGAGAGGCCTGAGCAAGGAGGAGAGGACAGGGTCCCCCACCCTACCCCATGGTTTCTCTGGGAGAGAATTACTAAGTGCTCATCTATCATGAGCAAAATGTTTTGATAATAATAGCTAATGTGTACAGAGCACTTGCTATTTATTTGCCAGGCTCTCTTCCAAGAACATTTACATTTGTCACCTTAGATAATGCTCATCACGAGCCTATTAGGTGGGTATATCATTATCCTCACTTCACAGATGATGCTGAGGCACAGAGAGGTTAGGCAACTTGCCCGAGGTCACACAGCTGGTAATGTGGGACAAGGCCGGCCACATCCCTTGCTGCAGGGTCACAGATGAGAACGCAGTGCCTCCGAGAGGTGACGCCGCGTGCACAAGGCTGGGACACAGCAGCAAAGGCTCCAAGCTCCAGGCCGGGGAGCGGGGGTTGTTTCTAAAATGAGGTTTTTCTCTGATCACATAGATACTGACCACAGATGAGGTCTAGTTAGGAACAGATGCCTTTTTGTATTTTTTCCCCTTGGGGTAAGGGTGCCCTGGCCAAATTGAGGAGGTTGCACCAAACGCTGAGAAGGAACAGTGGGTCAGATGTTTGAGGCCGTCTGCACCCTAGAAGCGGCAGCTCTGATGGAGCCCGCATCTATCCAGAGCCGAGGGGAAGGGCAGGCGGAACAGGCCCAGGGCGTCAGGGCTGCCTCCATGGGCTGTGCCAGACCCTGTTCCAATACGGGGGACATTTCACGGGGAAGTCAACAAGGGGAAAAGTCCCTTTGGGTGGCAGAGGTCAGCAAGGCCGTCAGAGGACTTACAAGACTGTAATTCCCTCTGATTCTCGGTGGAGCCACGTGAAGCATTAGTTTAATTCCTCGAAATTAGCAGCATGCTCCGGGCCGGCACAAACAAAAATTTCACATGGTGTTTTCGACAATAACACAACGTACCCACTGGGCTGGCGGCCGCTGTTCCTAATCTGCCCTGGTCGCAGACCTGTGAATCACTCCCCGCCCGGCTGGCCTCTTGTGGTTCCGACTGCTTTCAGCCGCTGACATTCCACATCAGCTAAGAGGGGGCAGGTCCCCCACCCGCCTGCGCGGAGCCTGTCTGCCTGGCTTGTTTACTGTTTTCCCCTCTCGGCTCAGAATGGGGACTTTGTTTTGCAGCCCTCGCTTGGCAAAGGCTTCTACGTGCAAGGAAGCTTTGGGACGGGGTGGGCAGACCTCGGAGCTGGGGTCTGAGGGAGAAAGGCCCAGTGGGGGGTTGAGCGCAGTTGGGGACTGGGAGCAGGCGGGACCGTTCCTCTGCCAGAGGCTCATTCCATTCCCTGAGAGACCGGCCCGAGGCTCCTCAGGACTCAGGTCCGGGGGTCCGTGAAAGGCTGGGTCCTTGGGGACCATGGAGATGGCATTTTGGGGCACAAGAAACCCAGAGGGGACCCTTAGAACAGTTTTCCTTAAGGACCCAGAGTGTACCCAGGCTGTCTGAGTCTCCAGCCCCGCACAGGTGCCTTCTTCCCAAGGCAAATGAAATCAGCCAGTCTCACTGTCCCCAAGCCCCGCCTGACCGATAGGCCAGTCTGTGCCCGAGAAGCAGGCTTCCCTGACAATGTAGCCAACTGACGGTGTGACCGCACGGGGTGGGAACACTGTGGCCCCCTCCCACCCCTTACCTTCCTTCTCCGCACCCCACAGCTCACTGGCAGCATCTGGCCAGAGAGGCCTGAGAACTGTCCCCTGGGCACGGCGAGGCAGCGGCCACTCCCCAGGGGGTCCTGGGCTCTCCTGTAGGTCCCATGAGTTTGGCAGCACCAAACATGAGAGGGAGCACCAGGGTCTCTTATGTTCCTTGGAGATGTCCAGCCCGGCCTGAGCCCCAGAAGCTGGCCAGGCCGACAGGAGTGCCTCTACCCTGGCAGGTGCCGGGTCCCAGCAGGCTCCCGACTGCAGGGGAGGTGGCAGGAACGACCCTTGGACTCTGGAGCTGGGAGAGAGCTGCCCTGGAGCCGGCCCGCCCTGTTTGCTGCAGGTGCTCTGAGGAGAGCCGAGGGGAGGACTGAGAAGTCTGGCTGGTCCAGACAGTCCCCCTCCTTCCCAGGCACACCCAGAGTCCACTCGGAGCGGTTCCTGTCCACCCTCCTTGTCAGCCTGGTCCGCCCTCGGTGTCGAGTCCAAACCCCTTGCAGGCCGGATGGAGCCTCCGCTTCGTTGTCAGACAGACGTGAGTTCCAAGCCCGCCCAGCTGCGGGACCTGGTGCTGCTCGCCACACCGCCCCGAGTGTCTGTTCTCACCTGCCCGTGGGCTGCTGACTCGTGTGCCTGGCCTCGTCCTGGCTCAACGCAGCCCTCCGCAAACAAGAGGCCAGGAAGTCGAGGGTTCTCACGTCCTCATGAACTTGAGCATCACACTCACCTCTTCTCCTGGGCCTCAGAGTTACAAAGTCATTACACCCTGTTTATCTCCGTGTGGCCTGGGGCCCGAGCGACTTCAGGTTCCTGGCCCTGCAGGGCACTCCTGAGCCGTCCCCACCCACGGCCCCCACTGTCCCTCACTGACACAGTCCTGGGGCCCATCGCAGGCGTCCTGGTCCCACTCACCTGGTCCGTCTCACACTCCCGCTTGCAGGTGCTCTGGGCATCCACCCAGAGGTTGGGGTTCATGTCGTTGGGGCAGATGCCAGCGTGGGAATAGCGGATGGGCGGCAGCGCCAGGCCCCCCAGGGGCACCCCGAGCAGCAGCAGCAGCACCGCCGCCTGCCCACAGCGGGCCCAGAACCGGTGGCACCCCGGGGCCCACATGGTGCGGTTTGCAGCAGCCAGAGGCCCCCCCTGCGACGCTGCCAGGGGCTGAGGCCCACCAGGGCCCTCTCCTTCCCGGGGGCTGCAGACCCCTGCCCTCACCCCCGCCCCCACGCAGGCTTCCTTGCTGCTGGTCAGGCTGCCCTGCCGTGGCGGCCTCCACCAAGTCAGCGGAGCCCGCGGGGCTGCACGGCTTCTGAGAAAAGAAAGGTCTTTGCCAGGAAACCCCCTCTCCCGGGTGTGCAGGGAGAGGAGCCCCAGCAGGGGCCCGGCCTGGATTTCTATCCTGGGCGCACCCGAGTGGGAGCGAGCTAACCTGATGCCTGTCACAGGCAGGCTGCTGGCTCCTCTGTCTCGTGGCTGATCACAGACTTGTTGCAGAAGGAAAGAAGCTGGAAGCAGTTTAGGCGGCGTATCTGGCACGGTGGGACACCTGCTTGTTTTTGACTCCAGGAGGCCTTTAACCCCTTCAAGGGCCAGAAATGGCATGTGCTCTGGGGGGAGCTGGCTCCAGCACACGCACGCTCACTGCGAAGGCGGTTTGTTTCCCTTTCCCCCACCTCCTCGGCCGGCCCCCTCCTCCCCTTGGCCACCTCTGAAGAACACACAATCGCTTGTTACAAGGAGGGACCTGCAGCCACAGGGTTAGCATCGCCCGGCCCGATAGTACATTTGAGAGCAAATGACGTGGAAAAACAACAAGTTCACGGCCATTCCAGGGCGGGCCTGAGCCGCGGCTGTGCTGTGTAAGCCGACTCCCACCCCAGCACCAGGTCCCCTTGTGGGGGGTGTGTGCCCCGACAGCTCCCTATCTCCCTGTCCCGGGCAGTTTGTGTCTCAAGTTCCGACTTTGGTGAATTTTCCCCAAATCATTCCAGACACACAGACCAGATATGCTGCAGCTCCCGGCTGCCGGGACAGACCACATTCCTTGCTCCTCCATCGACACTCTCGTGGCCCCAGGAAAACCTACGGGCGTCTCGGGGCGGCGCTGGGAGCCGAGCTGCCCTTGCTAGGGCTTGATGGCTGTGTTCAGTGAGCTCTTTTGGGGTGCCAGGCACTTTTCAGCTGTCTCGTTTATCCCCCACTTTACAAAGAAGAAGCTTCATGGTGGAGAGAGTGAGGGACTTGCCCAAGGTCACCCACAGTAAGCGGTGACAGCAATACTAATGGCTAATATTTATTGGGCTCCTCATCAGTGCCGACCTCTTCGTATGTGTCATCTCATTTAATCCTCACAAACTGTACCCTTATTTTAGAGTTGAGGAAAGGACGCACAGAGAGGCTAAGCAACTCGCCAGTGTCACACAGCCGCGGGACTCCACCATGAATATGGGAAAGAGGGACATCAGCAGGCGGTGACCTCTGGAAACCACTCTGCCACCCCCATCTGTCAGAACTGTCAAAGTATGTCCCAGACTCTGGTTTTTACAGGCTGGACAAGAAGTTGGTGAAACACCAGGGGCTGTATTTGGGGCTGGGATCGGGGGGGGGGGGGGGGAGGAGCCAAAAGCTGCAGGGGGTGGGGGTGACTTCCCTCCTATTTGGCAGGAAATGGCTCCTATCTAAAATGCCACCATCGCCCTGGCCAGTGTGGCTCAGCGGTTGAGTGTCAGCCTGCGGACCAGCGACTCCCGGGTTTGGTTCCTGCTAAGGGCACGTACCACCAAAAAAAAAAAAAAGACAAAAAGAAGAATAAAATGCCACCATCAAGGGGACAAACTGAGTGTTTTTGACTTGGTCACTTGATCCCCAGGAGGTAAGGGATGATGAGGAGACAGATCCCTGGAAGAGAGAGGCACCTTTTCAAGGTCAAACTGTAAAGGATTTGGGGAGGAGCATCTGAGCTGCTGTGTCCTGAGGATGGCGAATGGGGTGGCCCCCAGCAGTGCTCTCATTTTACAGATGGGGAAACTGAGTCCTGAAGCCAGGCCCTTCCTCTCCCAGGTCCGCTCTCCCCTTCAGGGCTACACCCCACCATCCAATCTGACTGTGAGAAGGCAGCATGACCCTTTTCCCTACCCTGCAGACCCTTCCCTTCCTCTCGGGGGGCGTGTTGCCTTCTCCATACCTGAGCCGATCCCTTCCCGTGTGTAGGCCATTCTGCAGGGTCTGTCTTTTCTGCTTATGTCAAAGAGTTAATGAAGGGTGTCAGATCCTAATCCTCTAAATTACTGGAATAAACTTCCCTCCAAGGCCAGTCCCAGTAATGAAGCCAGACAGCAGGCGACGCCGGCTGCTTTGAATTCCCTGTAATTTCATAAACCCGTGTTCCAGCTGCTCCCGGTCTCGCACACGCTTGGCGGACGCGGTGTGCGCAGCCGCCTCGGGTATCACAGAGGGCATGGATGGTGCCCCATTTCTAGGCAGGACTGAGGAAAACTGTCACAGCCCCATTATGCGAGGACAAGTATTCTGGGGAGGAGGCTGAATTCTGGGAAGTTACTGGAGGGCATTAGTGGGGGAGGCCTCAGCGGTGAGGGGGGGCACACAGCAGAGCAGGAACAGCTGTCCTGGCCCCTGTCCAGGTTGTGCAGAAGCCCCTGCCCAGTCAGTGCTGTCCGGAGCCACGGCCTCTCTGTCCCAGGCCCCACTCCGGCCATTCTGCTCCGAGAGCCTCTAAACACAGCATCGGGGAAGAAGGGGCCCTGGAACTCTCCAGCTCTCCCTCTCGACCCTTCCTAGTCTCCCCAAAACTCAGCTCAGAATAATAAATAACATCTGATCAGGGCTCGCCGCCCACAGTTTTACTGCATCATCACTGCTGACCCTCACGCCAGTCCCAGGAGGGAGCCCGCGAGGTGGCTGGGAGCCCCCCGTGCATCAGAAGAAAGTCACGGCGGGTTTAGGCTGGGTCTGCCCGGCCTCCTCTCCCAGACCCCTGTCCTGTGCTCTTTCCACAGCCCTTCAGGAAGGTCCCCGCCAGCCTCACCTGCCTCCCTCGGGAGGGTGTCTCTTCCTCCAGGCCCCTCCCTGCCACAGCCCCCCGACCAGGCTCTGTCTGACTCCTCTCCCTCTCCAACTCCTCTCTGCTGCGTGGCACGGACCCCCCCCCCCAACTCTCTGGGACCAAATGAGGGCTCAGCTGCCCACACCCACCATCCACCGGGCTCCCACTTCCCCTAGAGCTGATCGCTGGGGATAGGAGTCTGGGCTGGGTGGGCCTGACCTTGGGGTGTCTCTTGCCTTTCTCCCTCCCCAAGGACACTGGCACAGCTCAGTCAAAAAGAGGGCTGGGCTCCGACTGCATCTCAGGGGAGCCCCAGCCCACACCACTGTCGAGGGGCAGAGGGACCACAGACCCTCCACACCCTCCAGGGTGGTTTCAAGGCCTAGCCTAGGTGCAGCTGACAGGAAGTCACCCTGAACAGTAAACTCTGGGTGACCCTTGACCTCAGGTTCATCCTTAGCATAACAATGCCTGAGCAGGGAGGGCCTTGACAGGACAGCAGAGCTGACACATTTTCCATTGGCCAGGCCTCTCCCCTCCAGAGACCTCAGCCACACGTGGTGGGGATGCCCGGAGGCACGGAGTCACCCCAGCACCTCAGGGCTCTGTCACTCATGCACAGACCAAACCCCTAACCTCTTGAAGCGTCTCCTCCCTCTTTTCCTACTTGATGTTTTTTAAAGCACCTACTATGTGCTGAGTTCTGGGTACACAGAGACAGATGCAGTCCTGGCTCAGGGAGGGCACGGTCTGGGCCGGAGGACAAGCACACAGCAGCGGACAGAAGACCCAGCGCTGCCCGGGGCCGTACGGTGCTGGGAGCGGGAGGAGGAAGAGGGGACTCAGGCTGCTATTGTGCAGCTGCGCCCCGAGTGTCTCTTACAGCCTGAGCAGGAGTCGGCCAGACAGAGCAGAGGCGGTGGTTTCCTACCTTCTCCCTGGAAAGGCCTGGCCCGCAGCACGGCCCCTCAGCCAAGGTCCTCCCTTCCCGGGCCCAGGCCTCCAGGAGGGGGAGGCGAGAGGGAATTCAGCAGGTTTAGGAGACGCGGTGGGGTGGGAGCTGCAGGTCTTTCTTCCACGTGGGGCAGCCCCAGAAAGTCAAACCGGCAGCCCATTCTGGCCCCCCCTTCTCGGGCCCCCCGATCTGAGGCAGCCACGCCTTCTCCCAAATGGATGGGAGAGGCCACTGCTCTGGGAGTATCCCGGCCCTCATCCTGTCATTGAAACATATTTGGGGAGGAGGAAGGACTTGAGAAGCTGGGATTGGGGTTCTGGGGAGGAGTCCTCAGTGAGGGTGCTCAGATGGTTCTCTGAAGGCCTGGGCTGCGTCAGCTAAAGGCAGTGATTAGACCCAAGCCAGGGAATTCAATAAAGCTGGCTGCTCATTACCCAGCTGGGGACCCCCCACCTGAGCGGCCATGGGCCTGGGTTACATTACAGGGCTGTGTGAACTTCCCCCTCCAAGTGAGACTGCACCGGGCCTTGGAATCAATATGGGGCCTCAGCAGATGGTGGAGGCGGATGGACGGGGGAGGCGGTCAGCTGTGGGACACGTGACCCACGGCATCTGTGCAGAGCAGGGCAGGGAGGGTCCATACTGAGCCCCAGGGGAGGCAGCACAGACTGGAGATCTGAGGGTTGTGGGCTTGGCCATGGTGGGGCCTGACCCAGCGCCTTGGGCCTGCAGGGCCTCCTTTACATGCGTGCCTGAGCCAGGGGCCTGCTGGTGGGGTCCAGTCCCTGGAAGCTGGAGTATGGTATCTGAACAGACCTATGAAGCCAGCACAGGAGACACAGCTTCTGGTTCAACACAGTTCCGAGCACCTTCAAGCCCTCTGATGCCTCCGGGAAAGGTGGACATCAAGGTGTCGGTGGATTTCAGCCGTGTGTCAGCCCTTCACCCACTCGGGAAGCTCCGTGGAGCTTGGGTTGAGCACCGTGCAAGGAGTCGCTGTGGTCTGCCATCGACCACTGTGCGACCCCATCTACGCCCCCGTCTGAGGCCCCTTTTGGCTCCCTCCTCTGTGATTCCATGTCCTGATTCTCCAGCTTTGCCTTGATGGAATCTGCTCTAAACAGTCCTCGGCAGCCCTCAGCCAAGACAAACACGGGCGAGAAGAGCTGGAAGGGTGCGGGGAGCAGCGCTGGTGTCGGGTCCACAGCTCTGCTCGGGGGGAGCAGGGCCCCTGTTTCCACCTTTCCCAGGCCTGGGGGCTCAGTAGGAACGCCACAAATAGGGACATGACCTCCCCCAGCTCAGGCCTCCCCTTCCTAGAAGCTTCCTCTGGCTACTCAACTCTCCACACTCTCGAACTCCTGCCTTCCCTCTGCCTTTCTGTTCTCTTCCTTCGGATGAGAGAGAAATGAGAAGGCCTCAGACTTGTGGGCCTCGCTGCTTACTCACGCGCTGCTGAGCAAAGGGGCGCGTGTTCCCGGAAATCAAACGCATCCCTGGCGCCCATTTCAACAGTACAAAATGTACGATGATGGCGGGAGTGACAGGAGGGGTTTGGATGAAAAACAGGC